CGACATTGCGGTGACACATCAGACAGAAATTTCAAACGATTCCGAGTGTTGTCCACTCGGCTCACATCATCGCGATCAAAGACCAGACCAACGAGAGAAGCATAATTCCACGAAAGCATAGCCAATGCCCAAAAAAAAGACAACACTTAAAGGTTTTTGCTGACACATTGGGGGGGCTAAATATTCTCAACGCAACCCGTGCGGGCCTACTGCTGCAAAAATACGCGTAACGTATTAAGAGAAATTAAACTTGCGTTATGACTCATCATCATCACCATAGCGGCTAAGCCTCAAACACAACCAATGTGACCCTGCGCTTTCCAAGCATGATCTAATGGCCATAGCGGACCTCCTGGCACGTTGCCGTCACGCTAATTGCACGGCGGATTATAGAAGGCCGCCTTTAGCTCTCTTTTTTTTGGGAAGAAAAAGCTCGACTAACCAATGACCCACCCAGTAAGAGCAGGCCACCCAGGGCCAGATAGCTGCACTCAAGCCTCGTTTCCATCACCTATTATCCCTTTTCCACCTGGACATCTGAGCACGGAGCACTACCGAGCCCAGGGCCAGCACAGCACACAAGTGGCGGCGGCTTTCCATTGGAATTTTACCAAGCTGAGCCCGAAGCGAGCTTTATGCTGCCGGCCTCACAAGACATCCGCATCTACCTCCGGTTCAAGAAGTGCTAGGGGCGGTGCTAACGGCACGCGCAATTTGCGCGACGTTAAGTCGGTTGCGACCCAAACACGGCGTCATCTACACGCGCCTTGACGCCATGACGTTGCACGCGACGTCAGCGGCACAGCTCGGCTTGTGCGGTGGAAAAGTAACCCCCCGCGCTTCCGGAGACCTGCGCTGCACTGGCTTAGCAAAGCCCCGGACATTCAATTGTAAAAATAGAAAACGAGAGCAGGAATGATGGCCAAGGAACAGCCCAAGTTCTGGCACAAGAAGTGCACCAGGGCCCCAGTCTGTGTCCCCATGGTCAAGAAGCCATCAAAATTCATGGATTCGTACCAAACCATCCAATTTTAAACACCCAGGGGTATGACCACTATGCAGATGGTGAAATAAAATCAGCTCGTGTGTCGGTGCTAGATGGCTTGTTGTATCGCTGTACCATGATGCTGATGATTTGCGGAGGCCTTGATCCAGCAGTGGATAAATCATGGCTGATGATGGCTAGTGTTACAATCTCAAAGTGTCGCATTGTCTGTGTCTTACTGTCCCTTGTTTCTTGTAACATGCCACACTTTGCCTGTCCGTGTTAACCAAACCACCGACAATCTATTATCCAGATGCTCACTTGTTCATCTCCCATTCGATCTCTTGCCCTCAATCTTACCAGCAATGAAAAGTTTGCTAAAGCCATCTTGTCCATTTGCGTGTGCCAAAAATGTTGACTTCCCTATTGCTGTAACCTTTATAAGTTCACAACTCTGCTTTGCTCTCTGTAATACGTCTTCATTTGTCATTCTTTCAGACCAGCATATTTCCAGCACTCTCCTTTGAAACCAAAACGTGTTTCTGGCCAGCTATTAGTCTCTTACTCTAGCAATTGTCCACATATTATAACCGTGCAGCAATGTTGCGCAAATGTAACAATGTACCAGGACTAAGCAATCCTCAAAAGTAGTTTGACAAATGTTAGTGAAAGCCATGGAATACATTAAACCACCATTATCAGCCACAGTTGATCCACTGAAGGATGAAGGCCATCTCATGTCATCGTCATCCCGCTACAAATTCTGCAATCCCACCGACTAGTTTAAGAAAAAGTATATTTATTAAATATATTCAGTGTTGACCCTGTAACATCATCACCTGTTTCGGGGGTCAGCCCGTGCGAAAGTTCAAAGATAAACAAATATGGGGCTCGTGCCACTTTGAGAACCAATCAAGAATCGCGTTCCTGTATAAGGCTGCCATTGGGACATGGACTCTTCAGCCCAGCTTTGTTCTGGAACAGCGCCAGCTCAAGCATTTTCATCAACATAATTAGCCACAATCAATCCACTGCTGGATGAAAAAGTCTCCCTGATTTTGTCACCATCTATCACGGTTCTGCGATGTAACAGTCCGCCCAGCACCTGCACGGCAACTAGTTTCAGCGTTCTGTCTGCATGATGGACGTCCTCTTGGGCGCCATTCCCTTCCTTGGCTGTCACTGCGTCAATATTCTCGACCACCGACCACCATCGCCTACGGCGGCGTGTCCTATGCAATGCCACATACTTCTCTCAACAGTAAACACGACGTCTGTAATCTGCGTATGTTAGATTTGAAGCTTTCGTGACTGCAAGGATTCATACTCTTAGGTTTTTTCGGTAAAGTCACGTAGGTAAAAAATATAATTAAAATTAATGAAAGTAAAATACTTTACTTTTATTTGAATTAATAAAATTAATAAAAGTAAAATACTTTACTTTTATCAATTTTAATTTTATTTTTACCTACGTGACTTTACCGAAAAAACTTAAGAGGGTCTGCGTATGTTCTCTAATCCGTGCGTCCCTCTTCCCATCTCTCAAGTGCATGCTTCTCTGAACACTTTTCAGCTTCCGTGCCATATCCTCCATCAATGCCGATGCACGTTTCCGATCAAATCACCAAACCTGGTGCAATTCACATGTGCGAAGCCAACGGGTGAGAGTATTTCCTGCCGTAAGTGGTTGTGCTAAATTAGAATGATTTCACGATCGCAATTACGACCAACACCGCTTTGCAAATGTGCCCAGAGGTACACATAGTAATGGCCATGAATGATGAAATTCGTGTTTAAACACAACTCGTGTTACTCTTTGTTTTGTGGGTCTAGGTGGAGGTGATTTGCATGTATTTCTATTCATAACATAAAGATTCCTGAACTATTATTCCGGGACCGCTATGTCAAATAGAATGTGTACGGCTACTTAGTGGACCTGGAATTATTCAATGAATCATAAGTTGATTCAACAAATTGTATATTTTATCCTATTGTGGAATATCTAACAGCATCTACTGGACGGTGGGCGTCACATTAACTCTTTGCATACAAGATATAAATTATACACAACCGGCCCTTTGTCAATCCACTGATGGCTGAAGGCCTGGCCGCACTGTTGGTCATGGCAGGATGTTTTCACCAAATGTCAGCATGCTAGTCAGTGCAGAAGGAGGTAGCGCCAGAACAAGTTAAAATATCACTTGCCACTGATGTTTGCATGGGTGGGAATCAAACTCTGGTTTTTGGGTTCGTGGTGATGTGTGCTAATCACTGTACCCTCCCCATTACATATCATGAGGGGCGGGATTTCCATAGAAAGTATTGAGAATAACTCAAAGACGTGTGCAATGGTGCCGATTAAGTTAACAAAACACACACAAGGGGTGTGAAGTTTTGCATGCACAAAAGCTCAGCCTTATCCAGACCACAATCTCAAAATAACTGAATGTGTGGCCATGTCATTGTTCAGACCACCGACTCAAAGACCTGAGAAAATGTGGTGATCCCACCAGGCCGAGAGGATTTCTGCACATGCAATGCACAGTTTTGTGTGTGGTGTTAAATCTATTTATTTCCAGCCTGCATTGATTTTCACAGTGGTGGTGGGTTTTCTTGTCACGTACAGATTTGATTTGGTGGTGCCAAAGCAGATGAAGCCGGCCCAGTTGTGCGCCCGCACACACTGTCCTGCAATCCCTACAAGGATTATCGTCGGTCTATCACATCCGACACTTGCCATGCCCACCCAACATGACAAACACAGCGTGCATATTAACTCACGCACAGCAGGCTACGTGTGGGCCCTATGCAGTGCGCAGAGTGACCTTGCCGCTGAGAAGTGGGCGTCATCAAACTCGCCTCTGGGTGTGGGCAGTGTTTTTGCTAAATCAGGAGACGTGTGCCGACAATCCTTGCGTGCAATACGACAGGACGCCGATATGGCAGTGTCGCCGCGGGTGGGAACCCCTGATGGCTTCTGTCATGCACATTGCCAGCGGCGGAGCAATGCCACGTGAATTCATCAATTAGTATTGGTTCTTGAACTCGCGATAGCTGCAATCAAATCGCGAGGTTAAGGGTCGACATTTTTCATCGACAATATCATCTCGTGCGCGGGAGCTCGCCGGATACGTGCATCGCAAGACTGCAAGAGACAGCGACGAAGACCTTCATCCAGCAGTGGATGAATCATGGCTAATGATGATGATTACATGCCAATGTAAGATTTGATTCAATCGATGAATCAACGTACCATTATATGCCTAACTAATCGGTGGTCAAGACTAACAACCGAGAGGCATCCACAGAATGGAACAAGACACCCAAAAATTATGACTGATGATGTTGTAGGTAATGATTTAATGTGACCCCCACTCACCACCAGATAAAGGTCAAGCTTTCGCCATGGTCAAGGACATTGATGCCACCACACCTCACTATTAAAGGCTTTCTCCAAGTCCCTCAGCTTTTGCAGTGGAGACGCAACCTCCAAAAAACTGGCCTGACAGTATCCCACCATCTGCCGTTAGGTAATCTCCTTAGTCACCACATTCACCGGAGACACTTGTGGTTCCAACATTCACAAATAACGTTAAAAACAAGAATGGGATTATATCGTGACTCCTAATACCAATCATTAACTGATGAGTGGTGGGGGGAGAATTGTCGCACCCCGAGTAGATCTGCACTTTGACGGTCACGGAATTCTGGGCTGTCCGCCAACAGTTTAAAGCTCCTTAATGAGCGAATAAAAAGACTGCCACAGTTAGCAGTGCACCACTGACATAACTGCAGCATCACCCTAATAATGTGTAACATAGCGTCATTGCAATGATGCCATTAGGAAGCTTCCAAATTCGACTTTTAAGACTTTTCCAACCTCGTATAGGACAGCCCAAAGTCAGAAAATGTCATATTTATGAAACGGATTTCCATGGAATTAGCAATCACCAAGGGCAGGGGTTGATACAGATGCACGACAGGACAGAATGGTAGTCGCTGATGACTCACAAACCTTAGACTTCTGTTTGGTTTTTGACTTTGGCCTCTGTTTCTTCTTTAACTTCTTCTTGTTAATCGCATTCTTTCTGGCTCTGAAAAAGTGTGGGGTTGGGGGAAACATCACACAAAAACATGAACTTACTCATGAAAAAAAACACATGAGATTTAATCCAAATATATCTAAATAAAAATTTGAATCTACAGTGTTGTTGCCATTAAGCAACTGATTTTATCATATTGTTAATACCAAAAAAATTGCTAAATACAAGCCTACGTGTTAAACTAAAAAACTGGCCGTTTAAATAGCCCACATGCATAAACAATGTACAGGCTGATGTTAATCTATTACTGGATGAAGGCCTGTCCATACTATTAGGGTATGAGGGTCGTTTCATTGGACGTTACTGCGCTGGTCAGTGCAGGTTGGTGTAGGGGAGGCTCAGGACAGGTTCAGATAGGACACATCACTGGTGTCAGCTGTTCACAGGACCCAAAGTTAGGCTTTAATAGCAGCGCGATAATCACTGTGCCACATGCTCAGAAAGCACGTAGGGTACTCCTAAAACGACAACATTGTTTTACAATAATAAATATTGTATCTTATGAGGGATGCCCTAAAAGTACATCATCATATTCATTAAAAGTATTCTTCATAATCAACGTTTTTTGGGTTAGATCGTGTTATTTATAAATGTGTCGTAACCCTCCACCACCCGACATGGCCAATCAGCAAAAAAGTGTCACGTTGACAAAAAACAAATAGTTCACTGCTTTAGCCCACCGGTGTGTTGATTCGTGAAACCACAACATTTACAATTTTTTTGTACGACGTTTCGCTGGTAATTGCATCCAGCATCATCGGGCAATTCGCCAGAATGGTGAGTGGTAAATAACGCGATCTAACCCAAAAACGTTGATTATGAATAATATTGGTCGCGAAAGCCTACGTGTTAAACTGAAAAGTATTATTTTTTATCGAAACGATGAAAATTATTTTGACGTTCATTCATGGGAATGTCATGACCATTTTGGCTGTCTATCAGCACGGTCTCCATTCCTTTTCAACACATTTGTGCCAACATGAAAACAATGCCTGCATTTCATCATGGTCAATAGGATTCATCAACCTTGCATAAATATTCGCAACAGTATCCTGTACATCAATGCCTGTAAGCCAGCACCGTGGAGGCAGTGAGGGTTGGTGAATCACACAAATGTTTGTGAAATTCCCCTTCCCGTGGGCGCGTGAGACACCATACCCTGGTTCACGAGAAGGCGGTAATGGTAAGTGGACTAATTTCCATCCATCTGTTTCCATTTGTATGAGGATAGAGTGTTGTCCCCTTGTGTGCATGGGTTTCTCTTGGTGCTCCGATTGCCTCCCACATGTATAGCTCATTACTCATTAATTGGCTAAAAACATCTTGCAATTCCTTATATTTTTCTTGTCAATAACCTCTCGGTAAACTGATGCATTTTAAAAAAAATTCTGGGAATGCTATGAACGTATATCACTTTAATGGGAAAGTCGTTTTATTGTGTGACGTTGGTAGACACTACACGAGTCTGAGAATATCAGAAGGTCATTGGATAATTGCCTTGAACTGTGCTGCCCCATCCACCCTACAGTCCAGATTTGACACTTTCACATTTTCACATGTTCAGTCGTTTGAACGATGGCCTATGTGGACACCATCACATGTATGGTATAATAATTATATATTTCGATTTAAAGCTTTCGTGACTGCAGGGATTCATCTCCTTGGTTCTTTCGGTAAAGTCACGTAGAAGGGAAGTAATAAAATAATAAAAATAAAACATAATAAAATTATTCTCACGACGTTTCGGCCACAACGCAAGATTGGCCGAAACGTCGTGAGAATAATTTTATTATGTTTTCTTTTTATTATTTTATTACTTCCCTTCTACGTGACTTTACCGAAAGAACCAATAAGAATAATTATATATTTATCCAGGAAAGCCACACTGCGTCAAATGACCGGTTTTCATGAAGATCCTGCTACATACGGGTTTTTATTTTATTTTAGCATTTCAATATGAAATGAAAGACAGTCGTATACAAGTGTGCCTTAAGAGGAAAGTTTTCAACCATTGTGTATCACCAGCTGTGGAGTGTGGCTCAGTGACATGGCTGTAAATTGTGCAAAGGATCATGGAAAGATGGATGCATGGAATTACACCAAAACATAGAAAGGGCAACACATGGACCAGGGAACAAATGCACGTCAGATATTTTTTATGTTGCCGGTTGATAAACTTAATGGGCTTGGGCAGGACACCGAGGTCATAAGAATACATGGTCAATCCAGGTAACGGAATGGCAGCCCAAGGAGAGAGCACGCCCCAGAAAATGACCACCATGGAGATACAGTGATGAGATTATTGCACGAATGAAAGGAAATGGATAAATACTATAAATTGTTGTGAACTGTTGTGAATTTGTTTTGTATTGCCGTGTGACCCAGGTCTCCTTTGAAAAAAAGAGCCCATCAGTCTCAATGGGATCCCGCCTCGTTGTACATAAATATTTGACGATAAATAAAGGGTAACTGTTTTGCACGGGTGAGAAGCCCCGCCAGTATATGCGCTGGGTCATGCTTTCAGAATTTGTCGGCTCCTATCAAATCTCACCGGCTAGAAGAGCATGCTGTGTGGACACAAAAGACTTTTGCGCACATAAACAGCATCACATGGCATTATCTGTGCGAGCCATTGTGCCCTGGTGGAATTGGCCACATATTCGGAGAATTCCACGCAATTAATCGACTGGGCAGCATACGGATGATGGCCGGTGATCAAAATTACCAACGGAGTGGTAGTCAAAGCAGGGAAACAAGAGGCATGTCCACCACAGAGATGGAGCAATGAGTGTTGAGTTTTTCCAGGTACTCCAGTTTCCCCTCCACACGAAGCCAAACGGTCATCACTAATAATGGCCAAACATCCCAATGTAGCAGGACCCTCCTGAATAAGAGTCTGTGGAGACTCAGTAAGGCTTTCCTGGCCACATAATTATCATAAAAAATCATGACTTGCCACTGCACATGAATAATAATCTTTCATGACCATCCCACTGCGAAGGTCAGGTGTGATGAATGCAGTTTACATGTCAGGATTTGTTTTCCAAATAGTAATTATACCAACAATGGTTAAAAGATAAACAATATAAGCAATTTTCATAATACTACATTCAATCCTTTCAGTAGGGCCCAGTCAGACAGTGTCATTATACAGGGTGAAACCAAGCATGGATGCTCGCTCAACACAGAACACGTGCGTGGAATTTTAATATTTAAACGCATCGCTGACGCGTCCTCAGTGGACAGAGATTTTTTTAAAGGAAATATTTGATGGTTTGTTTCATTATTTATTTACTCAATCGATTGCTCTCTGTTTACCACCCGCCGCTTGCAACGGGAGCCGCATTCCAGCTGACGTAACCCGTGCGTGGAATGCTTAGCTCGGCATTTTTACACACCTATATGCTAATTCCTTTTATCCGCTTGGCAAGTGCATGGGCACGCAGGGCGGTAGGGAGGGAATTCGGTTTGCAGCCGCCAAACTGAACAATGTCCATGCAAAATTGTCAGCAGGCTTTGGCCTGCATTCTCGCAGCTTAAGTGTCACACTCCAGTGGAAATAAATGACTTGCTTCGTTGAAGATTGGGAACAGATTTTTAAGCGTTCAGCACACGATCACTTCAGAACTTGGGCTGACCCTGCCCTACAAATGAAATAAATGAACCTAAGGGCTATCATTTTCGACATTGACATTATGAAATATTTGGTCTTCAGATGGATGAAGACCCCACCACACCGTGTCTGTTATGGCGATTATTTGATCATACTTCACTATGAACGTCGGTGCAGATTATCAAAGAGTGTCCTTGGACAATAAGGACCAGTTCCATTATAATTCTACAAATTATCCCAGATGTGGCCAGGAATCTAACTCAGGTTCTTAGCAGTGCCCTACCCACTGCACCACCTCTCCCCTGTCATAATCATAGACTCGACTATATGTGTCAATTGTCAAGATTCCTAGTCCTACTAGGACTTCATCAGAATACACATAAGTCACAATTTACTATATGTATTTGCCATGTATTTTTTACAGCAGCCGATAGGACGAGTGCAGTACATTGCAATGGCGCTATGTGTAGTATCGAACAGACGTGTGTGTGTGTAAGTTGTGTCTTTTTGCCCCGTTCGCCCGATTTTGTTTTCATAAACTAAAAGTGCAAGCAGCTGTCCGGACTAAACATAGACGTGACGATGGAAGGTTGCACAATCAATGCAGTGAATGGACATTGTTTCCCCTGTACATAGCAGTCTTTAATACAAAGCCTACAGCACAGAAACCTTAATATAATTGCCGTGCATCCAATTAGCTTTTTCTCAATTAAGTGATGCTTATTTAAGCTAAATATTTGTGGTTATTAATCAGATTGCTCCAAAATGAAAGCCATTAAAAATGTATTATACTCAAGACAATGACATGTTTGGCTCGCTTATGTGTTGTAAATAAAGAAAAATGAATGGACATATAAAATAATACACCTTTAAAACATTAATCTCATTCAAGGCCAGGTCAGAGTGAATGAGAAACCTTTATTCATTCCTCCAATTGATTTGCAGTCTGAACAAGCAGTTCTAAGCCGTGTGTGCTTGATTTTATTTATTTACAAAGGCTAAATTGAAACAAACCCCCCCCCCCCCCAAGTAAACCCAAAGGAAGCTGATTCAACGTAGCCACTGTTAATGAACTAGCAATATCAGGCCAAATATAGTCCTGGCATAAAGAGGAGGAAACAGTGTTCCTGCCTGATCAAATGAGGGTGCCACATCTCATTGGATGAGTCCGTGGTGAAAATTCAACTTTCCTATTACGGGAGAAAGTCTGTCCACAGACCAACGACTAATAATTTCCCACAAAGTGGTACTTATTTTATCGTCCACCAAAGAGATGATGATGGGCTAAATTAAAAGGTTGAAATCAATTGAGAGCTGAGGGACAGTGAACCGAAGAAGAGCTCTCATCAAACGCATGCTCCGAGTGACCCTGTTATATGATTATTATAAATCCACTGCTGGATGAAGGCCTTCCCAAGCGCGTTGCATATCGACGGCGCTGCACAGTAACAACCAATTTTGTAAAATTATTTTTGCTTTTAGGAGCAGTGAAAAATAAACAGTAAACCTGTAACTACAGCCCTTTATTCGTAATTAATCGCGATCACATAGTTGTAATTTCACGGAATACTGCTGTAATTATAATAGATTCCACGTGTAATAAACAATGATAAAACGCATGACCTAAGACCTTTAGTGGAATAATCAATCGATTATTTGCTTGATAAAACGGTAATCAGGCCCTCACTGTGTAGTAAATTTCATGCGATCATCTTTTATCACTGGGTCCAAAGTGGCAAGATATATCACTGTGTTCGTAAGCGTAATTATCTGGCTAAAAGCGTATACATTGTGCCGAAAGTGATCATTTAATGAGCTATAATTGTGCAACTTAAAAAAAAACCAATACCGTAATAACGATACAGGTATGAAAACAATGGTTCTCAGCTCAACACTTCCCCCCACCTCCCCAGCCTTGGGCTTGACAGAATGCATCTCTTTTTTTTCTAACATCAACTAGCGAGGCAGCGGGGGGTATAAACATCAAGGATAATGAATCTATTGCGAACGTTGTTGAAATTTAAAAAAATAACACGGCGATCGAGAGCCCTCCATTGAGATACAAACACAGAGCGGTTATCACACGGAAGTGTCGAGGCATAATGGTTTAAATATCGAGCAAGCTCATAGCTCGCGTTTGCCGATTAACACCGCCAGCAGTTGCATCCCTTAGTCAGTAGAACACAAGTTACGACGACCACAGCACCACCAATGAAGAAATAAACAATTGAAAACAAAACAAAAATACACCCACAATCAGTGCGGCCTACACGACCGTCACGGACACGGCGGCCTCGGCCAGCCATCCACCCCGGGCAGCATCGCTCTCTCCCGGTACGACCGCGCTAGGAAACGCCGGTCAAACAACATCAGCCACGGTCTGCCCACCGAATTACACCCAACAACCATTGGCATCGCATGCCCTCTTCCCCGTGTTCCCTCATCATCGTCATCGTCGTCCTCGTCTCTCCTCGTCCTCCCCGATGTCTCCTTCACCTGATACCGCTGTCGAGGCCGGCGAACAGTCGGTGATACTTTGCGCCGAGCGCCGAGCCCGAGAGCAGCTCCAGCAACCGGCCGCCCATCTCCTCCGGAGGCTCCGGGTCGGGAGGCCGCTGCTCAGCCACGGTTGTCATGGTGGTGGTGGTGGTGGCCATCATCATCATCATTGCTGCTGCTGCTGCTGGTGGTGGCAGCGATGATGTTGTTGTTGTTGATGGCGGCCGGGTTTGTGTGGCCGTCGCCGCCGCCGCTACAGACGCGGAGGACGCCGGCGAACGTCGGGCACGAGCCGGGCGGGCGGTGCTCTGGGGAATCAGCGGAGGGGGCAGGAGGCGGCCCCGACCCCCCAACCACCCCCCACCACCCCCCACCACCCCCCACACTCCCCCCCAACCACCCCCCGCACCCCCCCCCGCACCCCCCCACAACCCCCGCACCCCCCACCCCCCACACTCCCCCCCAACCACCCCCCAACCACCCCACACCCCCCCCCACCACCCCCCCCAACCACCCCCCCAACCCCCCCCCAACCATCCCCCACACCCCCCCCAACCACCCCCCCACCACCCCCACCACCCCCACTTCCCAACCACCCCCCGCACCCCCCCGAACCCCCCGCACCCCCCACCCCCCACAACCCCCGCACCCCCACCCCCGCACACCCCCCCAATACCCCACCCCCCAACCACCCCCCACCACCCCATGGCAGCAGACATTGGCCGTGATGTCATTCGCGTGCGGGATTCTGCGCCGGCATGTTGCGTAGGGGGGGGGGGTGAACGTGGAACGGCAATGGTTGTGTGATGATATTGGCCCACGACGTTTCGGCCGATGGGCCCCTCTTTCTTCCTCCTCCTCCTCGTAGCGCACTGTCGATATTTATTTGCATTTCGAGGCAAATGTCATTGGCGAACGTGTTTAGTGTTTTTTTTTGGTTGGTGCTGCTGTTGCTGTTGTTGATATTCGTGCATTTGCACCGCTTCGCAGCGCAGCAGTCTTACGCAGCATCGCCAATAGCATCGCCAAATAATTTGTTGGGAATAAATAAATGAAAGCCTTAACATTCTTAACATTCATGTTATGTACGACGCACATTCCTACTGTACAGGGTGGTCCATGTCTTCTGACCCCCCCCCCCCCCCAATTAATTGATCCCATTACATTGTTTCCTTTTGCATATTAATTTCTGTTTTAATTAAACCTTACTGAAAAATATAAAGTTTTAAACTTTATATACCGTTGCTTAATTGGCAGGAGCATATACGTGGATATACGTGGAAGCATGGAAATCTATGCGTTCGAATAACGTATCCCGTTCTATTTTTACATGGTCATTAACATTTAAACGTTTCATCTTCTTGGTTCTTTCGGTAAAGTCACGTAGAAGGGAAATAATAAAATAATAAAAATAAAACAAAATAATTCTCACGACGTTTCGGCCACAACGCATTCAGACGCTGTCTTTCCGACAGACCTGTTCTTCACCTGAGGACGGCTGCTTGCATTGTGGCCGAAACGTCGTGAGAATTATTTTATTATGTTTTATTTTTATTATTTTATTATTTCCCTTCTACGTGACTTTACCGAAAGAACCAAGAAGATGAATCCCTGCAGTCACGAAAGCTTTAAATCGAAATGTAAACGTTTGTTTTTAATGTTATCCCCTTCCCACCCCCCATACAAAATTCAGAAACAAACTAACCTCAATATGTAATCTCACTTGAGACATTTTAACAACCTGTTTTTAGTGCAATCGTTTTTTATTGAATTGCATCGGGAAATGTGCGATACCCACATGGACATGATTACAGGATTATTGAAACGAACATCGCATGCGTTCGGTGCAACGTCCCTTTAGCTGGACTTGGAGGAATATCGACGTTCAACAGAATTATTTTGCATAATCAACGTTTTTGGGTTTAGATCGCGTTATTTATAAATGTGTCGTAACCCTCCACCACCCGACACGGCCAATCAGCAAAAAAAGTGTCACGTTGACAAAAGACAAATAGTTCACTGCTTTAGCCCACCGGTGTGTTGAAGCGTGAAACTACAACATTTACCATTTTTGAGTACGACGTTTCGCTGGTAATTGCATCCAGCATCATCAGGGCAATTCGCCAGAATGTTGAGGCTCTGCTCTGGCTCCCGGTCTGAAATAGAGCAGCAGAATTATTTTGGCCAAAAATGTCTTCAAGATATCAACTGCTGTACCCCCAATAGATCTTTTTCACGATAAATAATGTTACCCCGTTTCATCACATGCAAGATATGAAACCTAAGTCGTGTGGTGAAATATATTTTTTGTTTTATTACATGAGAATGTAAACCGGTTTAGTGCAATGGGCCGTTTTAAAATGTGTGAAAATAATCCGATTTGCTTAGGGGTTTTTGACAAGTTTTTTTTCGTTACCAAAATGTATCAAGCAGTACACTTCACCCACGAGGTAAATACATCTGAAACCCACGTGTCATGATGACCCTCTTGTCCTTTAATGCCACCAGAGGATCAGGGACCCAGGGAAATAATATGAATTTCACGGGCTTCCAATTACAGTACTGTACAGGATGTTTTATTAGCGGTAAGGCAAGTGCAGTGGTCAGCGAACTGCGCTATGAATCTGGTGAATTTGAGTTTGATTTCCAGGACACGCGCCTAATATCGGTGGCGATAAAAATCTGAGCCGATCCGAGGCCTCCCCCCTTCACCAGCTCTGATTGACCAACTTAGTGAAATATGGTTAAACCACCCACCTGACGAACAAGGGGATGGAGAGCCCTTCATACATCAGTGTTATTGACAAAGGGCATAAATCATCATGAATATGTATCCTACACAACAAGAACAATTATTGGAAATGTTATTCAGAACATTTTTAATGATTACTCGGGCTTTTTTTATTATGGCAATCAGTGAAATATTACTAACTGGAAACCGTCATTCCGCCAGGCTATAACAGGCCCATTGAGAAGATATACATTAAATCTTGACTTAAAGCTTTCGTGACTGCAGGAATTCATATTCTATGGGTCTTTCGGTAAAGTCACGTAGATAGGTTCAAAGAAAATAACAAAAAATAACAAAAAACTACGACGTTTCGATCGCAAGTGATTGCTTGCGTTGCGATCGAAATGTCGTAGTTTTTTGTTATTTTCTTTGAACCTATCTACGTGACTTTACCGAAAGACCCATAGAATAAGATATACATTGTTACTGGGAGGATGATTACTCAAGCACTATCTTGATTGTCTGGAAAAATAAATCCCAGTGCCGGGTTTAAATGCCCCTGGAATTGTTGAAAACGTGGCTCTTTATACGCAAGGAGATACTGGGATATAGAGAAAATACAAGGCATTTACAAAGCAAGCATGTTGATTTATGCATACTGATATATCTTGTGAAGAATACAGATGATGTGGTCTAGAGCAAATTGGTGGGAGCGGTGGCGCAGTGGTTCGTACACTGCAAACAAATAACATTTAATTGGTTTAAATTTTCACCAAGGGGCCGTCCATAAATGACGTCACGTACCTAGGGGGGGGGGTCAGACATTTTTGACGATGTGTGACGAGGGGGGGGGGGGTGAGAAATGTGACGTCACATCAAAATGCGCAACTTTAAATAAATATGGAATTGTTATAACCACACTAATTGTTCTAACAACACTCCTACAACATCAGAGTGCAGCGCCACATTAAATACGCACTGCAATGACAATAGTTTAAAGCGATTTGAAGCATTTTTTTTTTAAATTGAAATATGGTTTTGGGGGGGGGGGCAGAGCTTTGTCACGTCATATTTGAGGGGATCTGACTTTTTGTAACGCCGTGTGACGAGGGGGGGGGGGTCAAAAATCGCCAAAAATGGCGTGACGTCATTTATGGACGGCCCCCAACTCTTATTATCCACTCTATCACTCCGTCATCTCTGTCGTATGGATAAGAGCCATTATCCGAAAAGTCACCTATATAATGTGCTGAGTTTTGTTTTGTTAACTGTACGTGTGCGCATCACCAAATAATCTGTCACAATGTGGGGTGATCTCCTTGCCGATGAGAGAGCACGCAGTTTTACTACAGCTCACCCATCTCCGGTGTAAAAATTGCGGCAATCCAAATGACACCGGAGACGATTATACACAACGACCTCCAATCATTCCTTGTTTTGCTCTCTTGGCACGGATACAAATTCATGACCCCATTAACCAGCCTTGCAAAAGTTTACTGGCTCAAAGTGGTAAAACTGTGACCTTAATTAAAGCTAAGTAACAAAAAAAACATCCAGCCTTTTAAGATGGATCGATGAAATCAGGTCGTGTGTAGGAGCTGGATGGACTCTTGCATCGCAGGACCATGAGAGATGGCGACGACTTGGGGAGTCTTTCATCCAGGCAGTGGATTGACCATGGCTGATGAATACAGCATTTTGGCAATCCACTTCTGGATGAAGACGTCTCCATGCCAGGGGAGGTTGTTTGACCATACTTCACCACACCAGCCGGTGCGGATTAGTTGCGGAGGCCAGGAGCTGGTTGTAGCTACAAATTGGTGGCCGAACTTATTAGGTTGCCAGGTTCACGGTGCGTAGTTCTCGCAGTGATTCAACCTCTGCACCACCACTCCCCACTCTACCCAAATTAAAGTAGTGTGCATGGAAATCTTTGTTGTAATGCGGTTTTTGTTTATCTTTTTCGACTGGCCATGAAGACAGCAAAACGGGCCCTCGCTTCTCCAACGCATCATGAGTTCATTGACTCAAGGCATCAACAATGACGACGGACTTGGCGTGTGCCCATCACACTGGGGATTTCGCGGCAACGTAACCTAGCGAAATCCACTGCGGCCCGTGAAACTGGTGCTGCAGTTATTCACGAGACAAATACAGTACAGTAGTGTGTCAACAAACGTTAGAAACAACGTGGGACGGGGAGGTTTTCACGAACATTACGAACGTGAGTTGTATAGCGAGCGTCTATCGCCACCTCGTGGCCCCGATAAGCAATGGGACAAGTTACAGTAATACGTCGAAATGCGTATATTCGATAACGAACTTTGGATCTCTATTTTACCATTATCTTACACAGAAAGCTAAAACTAAAGCTAAATAATAAATACACTGGCACGAATGACTAAATAATGAATTAACATTTTATAAATTACGAAATATGTTTCTTCGCTATGTTTTATTTGTATTTTATTTTAATTTTCATACTGTACAGTATAATACATGATTTTCAGTATAAATTGTCTTTGTTCAGAATTTTTATGCTAATTTATGAAGTGTTTATAGGATGAAATTATAAGTGACGTCGGCCTGGGAACGCATCC